TTTTTATGTGCTGTTGCATTCGATTTGCAAGGATCTTCTTGAGGATTTTTGCATCTGTATTCATCAAGGATATTGGCCTGTAGTTTTCTTTTTTCCCTGGGTCTCTATCTGGGTTGGGAATTAAAGTGATGCTGGCTTCATAAAATGAGTCTGGAAGTTTTCCTTCTCTTTCTATTTTCGAAATAGCTTGAGAAGAATGGGTATTAATTCTGTTTTAAATGTAGGGTAGAATTCCCCAGGGAAGCTATCTGGCCCAGGGCTCTTATTTGTTGGGAGATTTTTGATAACTGATTCGATTTCCTCACTCGTTACGGGTTTGTTCAGGTTTTCTATCTCTTCCTGTGTGGATTTTGGTAGTGTGTGTGTGTTTAGGAATTTTTCCATTTCTTCTAAGTTGTACAGTTTGTTGGCATATAATTTTTCATAGTATTACCTGTAATTGCTTGTATTTCTGAGGAGTTTGTTGTAATCAGTCCATTTTCATTAATGATATTTTCTATTTGAGTGCTCTCTCTTTTCTTTTTTAGAAGACTGGCTAGAGGTTTGTCAATTTTGTTCATTTTTTCAAAAAACCAACTCTTGGTTTTATTGATCTATTCAACTGTTTCTTTGTTTTCTGTATTGTTTATTTCTGCCCTGATTTTTATTATTTCTCTTCTCCTACTGGGTTTGGGGTGCTCTTGTTGCTCTCCCTCTAGTTCCTTTAGGTGTGCCGTTAGATTTTGTACTTGTGCTTTTTCTAATTTCTTGAAGTAAGCCTGGAGAGCAATGTACTTTCCTCTTAGGACTGCCTTTGCCATATCCCATAGAGTTTGGATTCTTGTATTTTCGTTTTCATTTTTTTCATATATTTTTAAATGTCTTCTGTAATTGCCTGATTGGCCCATTCGTTCTTTAGTAGGGTGTTCTTTAACCTCCATGTTTTTGGAGGTTTTCCAGACTTCTTCCTGTGATTGATTTCGAGTTTCATAGCATTGTGATCTGAAAGTGTGCATGGTATGATCTCAATTCTTTTATATTTATTGAGGGCTGCTTTATGTTCCAGTATGTTATCTATGTTGGAGAATATGCCCTGCGCACTTGAGAAGAAAGTGAATTCCATGGCCTCAGGATGTAGAGTTCCAAATACATTGTCAAATCCATCTGGACCAATGTGTCATTCAAGTCCATGTGCAGAAGCTTTTTTATTTTGATATAGTCCCAATAGCTTATTTTGGCTTTTATTTCCCTTGCCTCAGGAGACATCTAGGAAAACTGTTGCTACAGTCAATGTCAGAGACATTATTGCCTGTGCCCTCTTCAAGGATTTTATGGTTTCAGTTCTCACATTTAGGCCTTTAATCCATTTTGAGTTTATTTTTGTTTATGATGTAAGAAAGTGGTCCAATTTCATTCTTTTGCATGTAGTTCTCCAGTTTTTCCAACACCATTTGCTGAAGAAACTGTCTTTTTCCCATTGGATATTTTTTCCTCCTTTGTTGAAGATTAATTGACTAAACAGTTATGGGTTTATTTCTGGGTTTTCTATTCTGTTCCATTGGCCTATATGTCTATTTTTATGCCAGTACCATATTGTTTTGCTTACTACAGTTTTGTAATATAACTTGGAGTCTGGATTTATGATACCTCCAGATTTGCTTTTCTTTATGAAAATTGGTTTGCCTATTTGGGATCTTTGGTGGTTCCATACAAATTTTAGGATTGTTTGTTCTAGTTCTGTGAAAAATGCTGTTGGTATTTTGATGGAGATTTCATTAAATCTGTAGATTGCTTTGGGCATTATAGACATTTTAGCAATATTTGTTCTTCCAACCCATGAGCATCAGATATTTTTCCATTTTTCTATCTCATCTAGAATTTCTTTCATTAAAATTTTATATTTTCAAAGTACAAGTCTCTCATCTGTTTGGTTGAGTTTATTCCTTGATTTTTTTGTCTTTTTATGCAGTTGTACATGGGATTGTTTTCTTACTCTCACTTTCTGCTGTTTCATTATTAGTGTATAGGAATACAACAGATTTCTGTACATTAATTGTATACCTTGCAACTTTACTGAATTCATTTATCCATTCTATGATTTTGGGGGGGGGGGTAGTTTTTAGAGTTTTCTATACATAGTATCACGACATCTGCAAATAATGAAAGTTGTACTTCTTCCTTACTAATTTGGATGCCTTTTATTTCTTTTTGTTGTCTAATTGCTATGGGTATAACTTCCAATACTATGTTGAATAAAAGCAGTGAAAGTGTACATCCCTGAATTGCTCCTGACCTTAGAGGAAAGTTTTCAGTCTTTCTTCATTGAGTATGATACTAACTGTGGGTTTTTCATATAAGGCCTTTATTATGCTGTGGTATGTTCCCTCCAACCCTACTTTGTCAAGGGTTTTTATTATGAGTGGATATTGTACTTTGTCAAATGCTTTTTCTGCATCTATTGAAATTATCATATGGTTTTTATTTTTTCTCTTATTGATATGATGTATCAGGCTAATTGATTTGCAAATATTGAACCACACTTGCATCCCGGGAATAAATCCCACTTGATTGTAGTGAATGATTTTTTTTTTTTTTTGATGTGCTGTTGGATTCCGTTTGCTAGTATGTTGTTGAAGATTATTGCATCTATATTCATCAGAGATATTGGCCTGTAGTTCTCTTCTTCAGTAGTGTCTTTATCTGGTTTGCTATCACAGTGATACTGGTCTCACAGAATGAATTTGAAAGTTTTCTTCCTCTTCTATTTTTTAGAATAGTTTGAGAAGAATAGGTATTAAATGTTTGGTAGCGATGCCTGGGTGACTCAGTCAGTTGAACACCTGACTCTTGATTTCAGCTCAAGTCATGATCCAGGATCATGGGATCAAGCCCTGCATCAGGCTCTGTGCTGAGAATGAAGCCTGCTTAAAATTCTCTCCCTCTGCCCCTCTCCCCTGGTTATGCATGATCTCTCTCTCTCTCTCTCTCTCTCTCTTTCTTTAAAAAGAAAATAAAACTAACTTAAAGAAATGTTTTTGGTAGAATTCGCCTGTGAAGCCATCTGGCCCTGGATTTTTGTTTACTGGGAGTTTTTTTTATTAGTGATTCAATTTCATTGCTGATAATAAGTCTGTTCAAATTTTCTATTTCTTCCTGCTTCTGTTTTAGTAGGTTATATGTTTCTTATGATGAATATTCTTTTTTTTTTTTGTTCAAACCATTTTTTTTTTACAAATAGTTTATTGTCAAATTAGTTTCCACATAACACTCAGTGCTCATCCCCAAAGTGCCCTCCTCCATGCCCATCCCCCCTCCCCCCCACATCCATCAGTCCTCAGTTTTTGTCAGCATTCAAGAGTCTCTCATGGTTTCCCTCTCTCCCTTTCCCCCACCATTTCCGCCCTTCTTCTCCCCCTTGTTCCTCCGTCAAGTTCCTCCTAATCCTCCTATACGTGCAAACATATGATATTTGTCCTTCTCTGCCTGACTTATTTCGCTCAGCATAACACCCTCAAGGTCCATCCATGTTGCTACACATGGCCAGATTTCATTGTTTCTCATTGCCATGTAGTATTCCATGGTATAGATAAACCACATCTTCTTGATCCATTCATCTGTTGATGGACACTTAGGCTCTTTCCATGTTTTAGCTATTGTGGAGAGTGCTGCTATGAACATTGGGGTACATGTGCTCCTATGCCTCAGCATTTCTGTATCCCTTGGGTAAATTCCTAGCAGTGCTATTGCTGGGTCATAGGGGAGTTCTATTGTTAGTTTCCTGAGGAAACTCCACACTGTTTTCCAGAGGGGCTGTACCAGTTTACATTCCCACCAACAGTGTAGGAGGGTGCCCGTTTCTCCACATCCTCGCCAGCATCTTGTGTTCTCTGATTTGCTCATTTTAGCCACTCTGACTGGTGTGAGGTGGTATCTCAGTGTGGTTTTGATTTGTATTTCCCTGATGAGGAGGGATGCTGAGCATCGTTTCATGTGTCTGTTGGCCATTATGATGAATATTCTTATATATGTCTCCTGGTGTCAATATTCAAGAGCTTTCTAAGAACCTCCCACCCATTTTATTTTCTATTTTTATAAACATATAATGAATGTATAAATAAGTAAATACATGTACTGGGAGAACATCCCTATAAATTTGCTTTGCAGAAAATACGGCCATTGCTTTCATATCTGTACACATTTATTACCAATTTAAAAAATGGTATCTGAATATTTTTATGAGAAAATTTCAATACTGAAAAAGAGGGGGGGACATTTTCTCTTTCCTAAATCTGTCTTATTTGCTTACTTACTTACTTACTTACTTTTCAGGACCTGCAATGAAATCTCAAGGACATTTCTACCCAATTCTCCTCTCTCCTGCTAGGATTTCTGAGCTCAGTATGGTATTTAAAACAAGTGATGGTGAGTTCCTGGTGTTCTTAGTAAAACATTAGTGAACCACCCCAGCACTTACACTTACCAAGTAGTCTGGAGCCTCCCTATACATTTGTCTTGTCCGGCCTATTTCTAGCTCTTCACTATTTTTCTAATGTGATATAATATCCCTACCATAAAACCTTGCCATCAAAAGCTTTGCACAGAATATGAGATATTCAGATGATATTATTCAAGGCCTTCTAGTCACATGCAAGATTCTTGCCTATAAAATGCCATAGTGACCTAAAGACAATAAATTTGCAGTGTAATTTTGATGGGAAGACAATGAGAGAACTAGGGCCATTCATCAGTTGAACAGTCAATTCCTAGGAGAGAGGATATTTGCAGGGGAAAGTAGGAGAAATATCATCTGGCTACTTGTTTCATATGGACAATGACAAGAAGTAAAATGAGACAAAGACCTGCTCAGGTAAGCACCTCCAGTCACTTACAACATCCTTCAGGGCCCACTACGTGCAAATACTACTACATCAGGCAAGATGGTACTCACAAAGTAGTAAGAAAGCATGCAAGACTTTGCCTTCTTTTACAAGCAACCTTATTTTACTCCTCTCCTCACTCCCCAGAACTTCTAGCATGGAAGTACATGCATGTAAGCACTGTACGTGCTGGTAAGTGCTCAATTCAATGGCTGACAAATGAATAATGGGAAAAAAATGAAGGAATGAGTGGGTCAGGAACTTGAATTTGGAATGCAGTGGTAGTAATGACTTTCTTAACTTAGACAACAAGGAGTTAGACAAAACTGAAAGCTTGAGTCAAGACTGACTGACCATTGTGTACTTGTGGACATCACTGGTGGGCAAGGCAGGAGACCTGCATTGGGTGTATCACTGCCATCTAGGAGACCCACCTTCCTGACTTCTAACCTTCATGAGCCAAACTTAGACTGTGCTGCAGACCAGCAAGCATGCCCTTCCCTGACCTTACCCCACCCATTTGCAAGGGAAGGGATCCTTCCTGGTTTTGCTTAGCACTGCAGCCTCACAGCTTCAGGCTTGGGACAGTTCAAGTAGCACACCTGAATGTCACTCGGAAAATGATGGGAATGCACTTAGACTCACTCGAAATCTTGGTGAAGACAGAAGGGAAAGAAGAGGGAGGGCAGCATAGGAGCAGAGGAGACCAGTAGAAGCAGAAGGTTAAGACAGGGAAATCCTTCCCTGACTTTCACCGCAGGCATCATTTAGCCCACCACTTTCAAACTTCTCTGTCCACAACTCTGTCCTCAAAAAAAAATCTGAAATAGAGTGAGTAAATGAAAATAAGCTGCTATGTTTGAAGGAAAGAGGAGACCTCTCACCACCCCCTCTGTTCCTGGGCCCCCTGTGTCTATGCCTGAGAGAACCCTTCAGAGCACAATTCATATGCCCCAGTGTAACCTCAATCCCTTATCTCAGGAATTCCTCTTGAGGAAGCCAAAACACAAAAGGAGACTAAACTCACCCAAGGTTCCTAAACTGGCTGGTGGCCAGGTCACCAAGCCACATATCTCCCATTTCCAATTCAGAACTCTTTCTGTTAGCACCCTTCCTCATCTTCCAGGCCCACCCCAGGGCCTGTCCAATTGGTTGTTAGAATAGACTGCTCAGTTTGAATCTGAAAAGTAGAGCCAAATTCTGAAATCTGAAGAAGCAATATGCCTTCCTCAGGCCCTCTTAAAATTAAAGTGTGAGTACCCTCTAGTGGCAGAATGTTCCTCAGTAACATTTCTCAGGATTCTCAAACTTCTATTCCTAAAGCCCAGAAGAATACCAGACACTGGTGAGAGAGGGTTATGTTGGAGTCAGATGTGTGTGTGTGTTCCTCTCTCCCAGAACCCCTCCCACAGGAATTAAGTCTCTGTGACAGCTTATGTTTGTTTAAATTTTGCATGCTGATCCATATCACATACATGTTTGACTCAGTGTACATTTTTCCCCTCAAAAAATTTTAATATATTAAGTGCTCCAAAATGTCCCTGCATCTTTGTCCCATAGACCCATGAACTCTGAAAAGCATGGAGTGAAAACAAAACCCACATTCTCAGAATCAAAGTTAAAGCTCTTTCTAACTCTACTGGAAAAGAAGCTAGGTTTTATGACCAAAGATGTAATAAAATATTAATAGTATAATAAATAGAACTTTCTCAGTACGTCTATGCCATGCCTAGTACAAAGCCAGGGGATAATGTGAACAATGGAAACAGAGTAAAGCAGACAGCTAGCATTTTATTCTCTCCTGGGGCTGAACTGCCCTATTTTACCTATGTCAAATAAGAGATGGTCATGCTGGTCTGTATGATGCCTCTGACCTTTAAAAATAAATTAATTAATAATGATAATAATAATAATGTCTTTTTGTTTATGACCTCCTCCCTACCAATAAGGCTCTGGGTCTATTAGGTAGGAGGAATTGTATGACAGGAATCAAGCTTGGTCTTCCCAGTGCTCCTTTGAGCAAAAGTATGGCCAGGATTTTTGCAGAAGTTAAAGATCAATCTCCAGTGGACCCTGTGGTGAGAGGAAGCAACAGACCATTGCTGACGGGTCTGGGACAGGCTCCTATGTTACAGAGTGCCTTTTATGAAACACTGTGCCACAATAGAGTGAGTGTCTCAACTCTAGGTTGAGACATTCCAGGGAGGAGAAGCAGTTTTGTTACCTTTGGGTAAGATTTGCTTAGTATAAGGATAATAAGGAGCAGAGAGTAGTTTCCCTAATCAATTAGGTTGGCTATGATTATTGAAGTCACAGGTAAGTTATGTGTTATGTGGGTATGGTAGCAAAGGTGGGAGAAGTATTGTGCCAAGTATATTCTTAGTATTGAGAAAAGATAAAACTATATGGGAGGGTAAAGTATTCTCAAAGATCAGTCCACATGAGAAAACTCAAGGTGGAGCCTGACATTATGAAAACAGACTAACTGCAGTTTGAACCCAGCCCTGGAAGTGATGTCAAACCAGACTGTATGTGTGAGTGACTCATTCTACAAACGCGGGAAAGTAAAGAATTCCTTTTAAAAGGCCAACTAAGTGATCTAATGACGTGGTTGACTTCTTCACTCCAGAGATTGATCTGAACCCTTTTAATCCCTATTTTGGGGAAATCCCAAAGCTGGTGCTAGTATCCTGCCAATGCTTTCAAGTAGGCCTGCAACACCTGTTAATTTTTAATTACTTCTTTGCCAGGTAGCACATAGCATTGCCCCAATCCTTCTGGATGGTTTCCCATCACTCCTGCTTTTCTGGCCCTGTCCTGGGCCCCCCCAGTGTCCTGACACCCAATAATACCCAACATAATACCTGGGGAAACTGCTCCTAGGCGCTGTGTTCATACTGATTGCCTGGCGCCCCTCTTGTCAAAGATTTTGAGTATCAAGGCTATCTGTAGAGGTAGAAATCAGCAGTCAGAGCATTATTAATTATAGACAATGATCGGGGCAATTGAAAGACCTTTGCCATAATTTTAATGTCATCAGATTTATTCCCCTTAATCACAAAACAGCTTTGCATAGCTTCACTGTGGTCAATTAGGAGGGGGGTCAAGAAAAGCTCTAGTAGAGTCTGCCACCTGCTAGTTTTCACTGTCATTCCTTCTCTCTAGCCTCTCTTTCCTTGCATTTGTCCAAAGAAGAGTATACACCATCCCAGGACTCCTAACCCGGGCTGCACAGAATTATTGGGAAGACTTTGAAAGAGCACCATCCAGAGATTCTGATTTAGTTGATCTGGGAGTGGAGTACCTGTGTTCTTTTAAGTTCCCAATGATTCTCTGTACAGCCTGTGTGGAGACCCAATGTACCAGCTGCACACTAAGGCCTAGGCACCAGGCTTATAATTCAGCAGCTCCTCCCATGTCACCTAAAAAATCCTTTCCTTTCTAGGACTGACAATAGGTGCTGGCTGCAGTCTGGCCCAAGTGAAAGACATTTTGGCTGAGCAAGTTTCCCAGCTCCCAGAGGAGAAAACTCAGACATACAGAGCCCTCCTAAAGCACCTGAAGAGTCTGGCAGGACAGCAGACCCGGAATATGGCAGTATGTCCTCTGGGCCAATCATTGGGCACACTGTACCTATTTTTTTTAACTTTATTTATTTTGAGAGGTGGGGGAGGAGGGGCAGAGAGAGAGAGAATCCCAATCAGGCTCTGTGCAGTCAGCACAGAGCCTGATGCAGGGCTTGAACTCACCAACCATGAGATCATGACCTGAGCCAAGATCAAGAGTTGGACGCTTAACCAACTGAGCCACCCAGGTGCCCCTGCACCTATTTCTTAATCTCGCTGAAATGTTGAAAAAGCATTGGCAGAATCATTATGCAAAAAGGTCTCAGCAGATTGAGACAACAGGCAAAATAAATAAATGTTTAATATTTAACAAACATTATTAAAAATATATTTAAAATAGTATTCTAAGTCAAATTCAACAGAATAGCCAAGTGACGATGTAGGTAGGAGGAAAGGAGGAGGTCACAGTTCGATCATTTCATGATAAGACTGTCAAAGAAACTAATTTAGTTTTAGGCTGCATTAACATAAGTATAATACCTAAAATAAAGAGGGTACTTTCTGTACTCCACACTGTTCAGACCACAGCTGGTGAATAATGTTTAGATCTGGGAGGTACACTTTGAAGTCTGACTGGTTTTGACCTCAGAAGAAAGCAGAAGAGACATAGATTTTCAAAATATGCATGCCCCCTCTGCTTCATACCCCAAATGGTGTGTTAGAAATCCTTGGCATATGAGGAATCAGGGGAAGACATAACTCCTTGAAAAAGCTCTTCAAATGATTCCAAAATGTTCTCTCCTCCTGTTAAGAACTCTGACACCTTGCAGCCTGGCAAGGAGATGATGGCAGGAGAGTGAAGGGTTGGAAACCATGTCAGAAAGAGGAATGGTGGGGGCTGGGAAAGTCAGGGAGATCATGAGAGCTGCCTTCAAATATTTTTTAAGTTTATTCGTTTTGAGAGAGAAAGAGAGAGAAGAGAATTTGTGCAAGCAAGAGGGGGAAAGGCAGAGAGAGAGGGAGAGAGAGAGAGAATCCCAAGCAGGCTTCTCTCTGTCAGTGTGGAGCCTGATGAAGGACTCAAACTCATGAAACATGAGATCATGACCTCAGCTGAAATCAAGAGTCAGATGCCTAACTGACTAAGCCATTCAGGTGTCCCTGCCTTCAAATACTTATAGAGTCATGAGGGCAGATTTTTTAAAAAATTTTTTTATGGTTTTTATTTATTTCTGAGAGAGAGAGAGAGGCAGAGTGAGCAGGGGAGGGTCAGAGAGAGAAGGAGATACAGAATGTGTAGCAGGCTCCAGGCTCTGAACTAGCCATCAACACAGAGCCCAACACGGGGCTTGAACCCACGAAATATGAGATCATGACCTGAACAGAAGTCAGATGCTTAACCGACTGAGCCACCCAGGTGCCCAGATGTTATTTATTTGATATAATCACAAAGGGTAGAAGTATGACTGATAGGGGAAAGTCCGGGGAAACAGAGTTCACCTCAGTGGAAACAAGAACTTTAAAATCAAGCTGTTCATAGAGGATCGGGGATTCCCTGTCTTTACCCATGTTCCAGCCCAGCCCTCAGCAACCAAGTGGTCACTGCAGATTCCATCACTAGATGGGGAGGAGAGTATTAGATTGAGTGGCCAGTCATTTTCCTCCCAAGTTCTGAGATGCTATAGGCTCAACCAGATCTAAGAAGAGGCAACTGTCTCTCAGATGCCCAAAACCCCAACACACCCACATGAAGTCTGGCCATTTCACGGGCAGAGTTAGATGCAGCTGACATCCTGTGTACCAGAGGCAGGACGGCATCTTTGTAGCTGATACCAAGGCCAGCTGTGCTGTGGCCAAGGCTGACTAGTGGGTAGTTCAGAATGGGCCATGGAGCCCCACTGTTTGGGTTTGAATCCCAGTCCTGCCCCTTCCTAACTGGGAGACCATTGTCATGTTTCATCATTTCTGTGCCCTGGTATCTTCATCTGAAAAAATGGCATCAAAATTGATGGCATCAACCTCACTGGGCTAAAGGAAGTGAGTAAATGTGTGTAAAGAAGTGGAACATAGTGAATGCTGTGTGAGTCTTGGTTACCATCAGCTCCTGTCCCAGTCCAAAGTGGTGGGTGAGAGGCTCCTCCCAGACCATCTGAATGGAGTCTCTCTACCAAAAGGACCAAGATCCCTTGTGACACTTTTACTACCAGAGGACAAGCAGGTGCCTGTGGTTCATAGGATCTGAGGAATAGAATGACTGAGGCTATAACTCTTTCTTTATAGTCCTTAGGGGGACATATTATAAGCCGACATCACTATTCAGATCTGAATCCAATTTTGGCTGTGGGGAATGCTACTCTCAATCTGATATCAGAAGGTAAGCTACCCCAGAACATTCTGGATTGCAACCTAAGATTTTTTTTTGTCTTTCTTTTTAAGGAATTGGTATAAGTCAGAGCACTGATCTCTGGTTCTCAATCCACCATGGGGAGCTCAGGCTCCTAGAGGAAGGCACACTGATACAAGGGAGTGGCTAGTGCTTCCTTCTGGCACCACCGCCCACGTACACACAACATTCACCCCACCATAGCCGTGTGATAGCCAGGGGTGGTGTGCAGAAGCTGAGGTGAAGGCTGTCTGCTGCCTGAGGACTGTTCTCTCCTCTCCTTCATGCCCCTCCCTTCAGCTGCTGTGTGAGGAGCCACAAGTCTGAGGAGGACACATAACAGAAACCGTGGACCGTCTAGGGACAGGAGGAAGGCAAGGATGAATTTTACATGCTGGCTGACAGAATCGTTCCCTGGGGCTTCTCCGTGCAAAACTACCCTTGTCTCCCTGGAAACAGCTCTCTCCCTGCCTCCGCTGCTCCAAGAATGCTGGCATGCGCCTTTACTGGGCACTAACTGCATGCTAGGCTGTGCTGGACATCTTACACACAGCATGTGTAGTCCAGCCAACCTCCCTGCTGTCACTTGCAGAGACAGGCACAGGATGAGAACCATCATCCGCATCATGCTGCCTCCCCAGGGCCTCTGGGTCTCCCTCCCACCACTTCTCCCAGTCCCTCACCCACAACCCATCAGATACACACTCCTTCTGTCCCTCCCACTTGGCCAGCCAATCATTTACCCTCCTACGGGCTGACCGGACCCAGGCACTAGGGTGCAAGGAAGCAATCACAGTCTGCTCCCCACATGAACTTTGGGGGTGTATCCGAGCAGGAATTATATCACAGGAAATGTAATCCTCCCAAGGGGGTGTGTTGGCCATATTATGATCCCATCCCTGACTGATGAGAAGTGCTGGGAGAGCCTCTGTGCAGAGCAAAAGTTCTCACATCCTTATTCAGCTTTGCATGGGGCCCGCCCAGGAGGGAGGAGAGGAAAGGCCTCACCCTGGCCTGCCCTGCACAGCTATTTTCCTGAGTCCTCCCTGCCTGTGGTCAAATGCAACCCCAGCTTGACCCCCAAACACCAGGAAAGAAGAAGCCAAGACTCTGGGGCATCAGGATAGCAAGGATAGCCTGGCCTGCATGCAGGGCCTTCTACTACATTAGTAGTAGTGGTACTAGTAGTACTAGTAGCAGTGTTCTCCGGCGGGGGGGGGGGGGGGGGGGTTGGTGGTTTCCTTTGGCTTAAGGTCTGTGCATTTCCAGCTCTGCCAAAGCCACCCCCTCCCTGAGCGCAGTGTTTCTCCAGTGCTGGTAGATGATTTGGTAACCTAGCAGCAGGGCAGGCCAGCAAAGGTCAGCAGAGGCTCCTTCTGGGGCGCTCCTGCCTCCTTTTCAATGACCCCTACATTCCAATCAGCATCTTGCCTCCTTCGCCAAGAACAGAATCCATCTCAGATTTGCTGGGCTGTAGTTTGATCTCATGGCACCTGCTGTGGAGCCACAAACCACGTTTTAAAACCAGAAGACACTGCTCTGACCACTAAATTTTAACACTGGGCCGAAAGGAGGGTTTGTGAATTGCTCACTTTGTTTGCAAGATGTAGGTCTCCAGCTTAGATGCCAACGGCAGCAGCAAGAACAAAAAGCAGGGGCACCCGAGTGGCTCAGTCGGTTAAGTGTCCGACTTGGGCTCAGGTCATGATCTCACGGTTCATGGGTTCGAGCCCTGCATCCGGCTCTGTGCTGACAGCTAGCTCAGAGCCTGGAGCCTATTTCAGATTCTGTGTCTCCCTCTCTCTCTGCCCCTCCCCTCCCCACGCTGTCTCTCTCTCTCTCTCTCTCTCTCTCTCTCAGAAATAAATTTTAAAAATAAATAAATAAAATAAATTCTTAAAAAAAAAAAAGAACAAAAAGCAAATGCAATGACTTGAGCTCTGTTAATAGTGGAAATAAACCCTGTCTCCACTGAAGCTATGCTCTTACCTTGAGCACAGTATTGAACAAGTTAGGTGTAGTTAACCAGCTGCCTGAAAGTGAAAACGGTGCAGCCATGACAGGCCTCAGAGGCGGCAGGAGACCTTGTTCACATAGCACACGTGATGAGATGAGTAAATGTCAAGAGGCTCCTGCCAGCCCTGTCTGTGCAGGGGAGTGTGGGAGCCTTGGACTGTCACATGCTAGGACTGCTGCATCACTCGGTGCAGAGGGAGGTGACCTTTTCCTCCTTGCTGCTGACATTTAAGAGTACAGAATAATCTGACATTCCTCACTGCAACTGTGCAGAAATGTCATTTTCTTTGCAGAAGGTACACGGCAGATCCCTCTAAATGACCATTTTCTTGCCGGGTTGGCAAATGCAGACCTTAAGCCAGAGGAAATTTTGGAATCCGTATACATCCCTCACTCTCAAAAGGTAAGAATTCTGCTGGCTGCTTTTAAGAGTGTGTTTTTCCCTTTTTGTGACGGAACGCAGTCATCTTTTCGTGACGGAACACAGTCATCTTTAGAAGTCTGAAAACAGATGGAAGGAAAATAACTGCCCTGAAAACCTGTTTCCTGTCCACTGTAGACTGGCCCGGCACCAAGGCCCTCAGACACCCTCGGGCAAACAGCTCTGAGCTGTGGATTTGGGGTTGTTGTTTCAGCTGCGGGGTGGGGCCTGCTGAGGGCGTGTGGTTGTGCCTCCACACCCCTCTGTGTCTACAGATCAACTCTGAGAGGCGCAAATTAAAGCTCTCTGGCTGTGGAACGAGCTTCTCCGTCTGACCCACAAAGAGGTGGAGGCTGGGACAGGGCCTCCCCAGTTCCAACTCTAGCTAACCCCAACAGCTCACAAGAACACGAGGGCCTCCAGATGTTTGCTAACACAGGATATCTGGGATTGATGTGGCCACCCAGCTGGCTATTGAATGTGGCCTCTGTCTTCACTCAATGCTCCGTGTCTCTCCCCAAAACCATACCTGAATCCAAGAGGTTGATCTCTCCAGAAAGAGGCAATTCAGCACACACACACACGCACACACGCACGCACGCGGGCACACACAATAGTGAAAAGCCAGGAGTTCGCTTGGTTATGCAGGAAGTCTCATATTAAGTCATGTTTTCAGCATGCATGATCTTCATTTATTTTTCCTTTGGATGGAAACTTTGAAATGTGTTCTAGTCCAAAGTGTATCCGTGAAGGCCCAAGATAGAAAACCAGGCAGGCACAAACACCCTTGGTGGCCACACAGATGGGAACACACTTGAGGCACAGGCCATCACCATTAACCCCTAAGTTGCAACATCAGCAGGTCACAATGCCAAAGCCCCAGTGCGGCAGCCATTGCCCTCCCGACTCCTGTTCCTGATACAAGATTCCCTATTCCACTGTCAGAAACTTCTATTCAAATCCTTTATAACCTTTGCAAAGAGGAAAGGTAGTCATTTCTACAAACCAAGAAATGTGGTGGGTCTCTTTCTTACTTCAAGCAAATTACATTTTTTTCCCTTTTTAATAGTTTGTTGTCAAGTTGGTTTCCATATAACACCCAGTGCTCATCCCCACAAGTGCCCTCCTCCATGCCCATCACCCCCCTTCCACTCCCCCCCATACCCATCAGTCCTCAGTTCTGTTCTCAGCATTCAAGAGTCTCTCATGGTTTGCCTCCCCCCCTCCCCCCCTGTTTCCTCCCTTCTTCTCCTCCACAGTCCTCCGTTAAGTTCCTCCTAATCCTCCTATACGTGCAAATATATGGTATCTGTCCTTCTCTGCCTGACTTATTTCGCTCAGCATAACACCCTTGAGTTCCATCCATGTTGCTACACATGGTCAGATTTTATTCTTTCTCATTGCCATTGTATTCCATGGTATAGATAAACCACATCTTCTTGATCCATTTGTCAATAGATGGACACTTAGGCTCTTTCCATGTTTTGGCTATTGTGGAGAGTGCTGCTATGAACATTGGGGTACATGTGCCCCTATGCATCAGCACTCCTGTATCCCTTAGGTAAATTCCTAGCAGTGCTATTGCTGGGTCATAGGGGAGTTCTATTGTTAATTTTTTTTAGGAACCTCCACACCATTTTCCAGAGGGGCTGAACCAGTTTGCATTTCCACCAACAGTGTAGGAGGGTGCCCATTTCTCCACATCCTCACCAGCATCTAGAGTTCTCTGATTTGCTCATTTTAGCCACTCTGACCAGCGTGAGGTGGTATCTCAGTGTGGTTTTGATTTGTATTTCCCTGATGAGGAGGGATGCTGAGCATCGTTTCATGGGTCTGTTGGCCATCTGGATGTCCTCTTTGGAGAAGTGTCTGTTCATGTCTTCTGCCCATTTCTTCACTGGGTTGTTTGTTTTTCGGGTGTGGAGTTTGATGAGTTCCTTATAGATTTTGGATACTAGCCCTTTATCTGACATGTCATTTGCAACTATCTTTTCCCATTCCGTCGGTTGCCAATTAGTTTTATGGATTGTCTCCTTTGCCGTGCAGAAGTTTTAATCTTGATGAGATCCCAATCGTTTATTTTTGCTCTTGATTCCCTTGCTTTTGAAGATGTGTCAAGTAAGAAATTGCTGCGTTTGAGGTCAAGGAGGTTGTTTCCTGCTTTCTCCTCTAGGGTGTTGATAGTTTCCTGTCTCACGTTCAGGTCCTTTATCCATTTTGAGTTTATTTTTGTGCATGGTGTGAGAAAATGATCTAGTTTCATTCTTCTGCATGTTGCTGTCCAGTTCTCCCAGCACCATGTGTTAAAGAGGTTGTCTTTTTTCCATTGGATCCTCTTTCCTGTTTTGTCAAAGATTAGTTGGCTGTATACTTTTGGGTCCAATTCTGAGTTCTCTATTCTATTCCATTGGTCTATGTATCTGTTTTTGTGCCAATGCCATACTGTTTTGATGATGACAGCTTTGTAGTAGAGGCTAACGTCTAGGATGGTGATGCCTCCTGTTTTGGTTTTCTTCTTCAATATTATTTTGACTATCGGGGTCTTTTGTGGTTCCATACAAATTTTAGGATAGTTTGCTCTAGTTTTGAGAAGAATGCTGGTGCAATTTTGATTGGGATTGCATTGAATGTGTAGATTGCTTTGGGTAGTAATGACATTTTAACTCTATTTATTCTTCCAATCCATGAGCATGGAATGTTTTTCCATTTCTTTGTGTCTTCTTCAATTTCCTTCATAAGTTTTTTTATAGTTTTCATCATACAGATCTCTTATATCCTTGGTTAGGTTTATTTCTAGGTATTTTATGGTTTTTTGTGTAATTGTGAATTACACACAGTTTCTTGATTTCTCTTTCTGTTGTTTCATTGTTGGTGTATAAAAATGCAACCGATTTCTGTCCGTTGATTTTGTACCTGCAACTTTGCTGAATTCATGGATCAATTCTAGTAGGGTTCTGCTGGAGTCTGTCGGGTTTTCTATGTAGAGTATCATGTTGTCTACAAAAAGTGAAAGTTTGACTTCTTCTCTGCCAAATCTGATGCCCGTTATTTCCTTTTGTTGTCTGATGGCTGATGCTAGGACTTCCAGCACTATGTTAAACAATAGTGGTGAGAGTGGACATCAAGCAAATTACATTTAAAAGCACCCGTGTGCTCAGTCAGTTAAAACATCAGACTTCAGCTCAAGTCATGATCTCATGGTACATGAGTTCAAGCCCCGCATCGGACTCTTTGCCGACAGCTCAGAGTCTGGAGCCTGGACCCTGATTCAGATTCTGTCTCCCTCTATCTCTGTCCCTCCCCCTTCTCACGAGGACAGAGGCAATCTGAAGACTAGAGGCAAGAGCACCTGGAAATGATCCAGGCATCCTGGCCTCAGGAAAAGCACACGGTGATCCCTGTTCCTTGAGGGAATTGGGCATTGGGGGTGGACATTTGGGAGGATTCCATTCTCACTTTGAATGAGAAACCAGCCAACTTGTACTCTAATTGTGCCAAGTGTCTTTTGTGTCCCTTTAGATGGAGTCTAAGTGATTAATTAGTGGCACCAAGAAGCAGAAACTATGCTCTTACTTTTGACGTGTCAAATAACCCCAAATGGTTCTCGTGTCCACAGTGGGAATTTGTGTCAGCCTTCCGGCAGGCTCAGTGCCAGCAAAATGCCTTGGCCGATGTGAATGCTGGCATGCGAGTCATACTCAAAGAAGGCACAGACATCATCAAGGAGCTGAGCCTTTCCTACGGAGGGGTTGGGGAAACCACAATCAGTGCACATAAATCCTGCCAGCAGCTCATAGGGAGGTAAGCAACGAACCCTGCACCCCAAAGGTGAAACTTGACATCAAAAAACAAAAACAAAGAACTAGTGGAAGTTTGGCTCTGACAAGGGTTGTTAACGACCTGGGAAGATGTGAACTCCTATATGTAAAATCACTGCTTGTTCTTTCTGTAATTTTGCTAATAAAGCAAACCTAGCTTGACTTTGACTAATTAGGGGCTGCTCCTTGGGGGAGGGCTACAACAACAATGGACTGTGCCCCACCCCAGTTCTCATGTGCACATCAGTTCTCCCCCAGACCCACACCAGGCAGGCTCCAAGGGCACCTAAAGCCACTCCCACCTGGGTGCCCTCTGTTTCTTCCTCAGTAGAGGCCAGCTGGTTCCTAATGGAATTGGCTCTCGTGATCTGTTTGTGTAATGGTTCCATCATGTTCTGGCTCTTCAACATGCTTGGTTCATGTTGCAACGAACTGGGCCCATCCTGCCCCTGTCATGACCCTTGGGCCACTCGGAGCAGCCTCCCAGGCCTCGATTTTCCTGAAGGGCTTGGGAAGATGATTTCTAAGTTCCCTTCCAGGTCATAAAAGGAGACTTCGGGTTCTCTAAATTATTATTATCCAGTATCTAGCACATGCTGTGGGATCGAGACTGCCCTTTAAGTGTCCCTTCCTCACCTCTAACCCCACCAGGCCCTGGAATGAGCTGATGCTGGAGGGAGCTTGCAGGCTGCTTCTGGAAGAGGTCTCCCTCCCAGGCTGTGCTCCAGGAGGAAGAGTGGAATTCAAGAGGACTTTGGTGGTCAGCTTCTTCTTCAAATTCTACCTAGAAGTTCTGCAGGAACTGAAGAAGCTTATGAAACTTGTGTCTGTAAGTGCTCTGGCTTTTCTGTGCTCCTTGCAGCCATACGCCCCCAGCTTTTCCACCACTTTTGCAGACTGTCTTATGGGCAGTTTGTGCCATTACCTGTCATCTGTTCTGAGTCAGCCCTTGTTGGTTCCCAACTCTTCCTCCTTCAGGGATTCATCCCTGCAGGACTACCACATGAGGCCCAGGATGCCACACTGTCTTCAGTTCACGGATGTTCACTGTGTGCCCTGAGCAACTAAACATTACAGTGCTCCTGCCTCCAATGTGGGATTTCTTTCTTTTAAAATCAGCTTTTCTGGGGGCACCTGGGTGACTCAGTGGGTTAAGCATCTGACTCTTGATTTAGGCTCAGGTTATGATCTCACAAACTGTGAAGGTTCAGAGCCTGCTTGGGATTCTCTTTCGCCCTCTCTGCACCTTCCCCCTGCTTGCACTCTTTCTCCCTCACAAGATAAACATTTTAAAAAAATAATAAAATTGACTTTACTGAAGTATGATTACACATAATAAAATGCAGCTATTCATACTCAATGACTTTTAACAAATGTGTAAACCCATGTAGCCACCACCTCAAACAAGCTGTAAAGCATTTGCATCACCCAAAAAGTACCTTTTGACCCCTTTGCAGTCAGTCCTCCCACACCTGCCCCTCGGCAACCACTCGTCTGCTTCATGGCACTATAGATTAGGCTTACCTATTCTAAAATTTTGTATTCAATATAAAATGTAAAAATTTTTTATTTTTCATAACACACTAAAATTTTGTTTGTATGCAAATATTTAAATGGCTTCTTTCTAGATTTTTAAATTGTAAACAAGCAAGGCAAAATATTTTCTTTCTCTTTCTCTATTTATTTCCCGGACCAGAATTATAACTCTCACTCTACCTCATACCCCCTGTTTCAAACCACACCCCATCCCAACACTCGTCAAGTCACCTCAAGTGTTCAATTTTCATTACACGGAGGTAGACCCTCACCAACCACGTTCACCAGGGTAATAATCGCTGCCATTTAATTTCAGAATCAAGATACTTGGTGTGTTTCAGATACCCAGAGAGCCTTCCCAATTTTACTGCTGAACTGCTGAGTTGCTGAGAAAAACAATCAAGATGTAGGCTTTTTTGTGTACAGTGAACTCCAGCTCATTCTGGGATGGCTTCTCCGGCCCCCAGTGTTCCAGCTTGTCCTGTCTTTACCCAGCTCACTGACAGGCCTCTCCCTCCTCGGGGTGGCTTGGGGATCAGATTCAAACCAGTCCATCCAGTTCCTCATTATGTGGGAAGGGAGGGCAAGACACCTTCATAAAAAGGGAGACCCTGGGGAGATGATGTGGATTTTGGTATTCCAGGCTACCCCAGCCTAGCAGTTTCTTAGATACTTCAGCCAAGTCATTTTCACACAAACCAAAGCTCAGTTTAATCATAGACTAATCAGTTTATCTTTATTGTTTTGAATGGTCTCTCAGGACAGCCATCATTATCCTGAAATTTCAGACCGATTCCTAAGTGCTCTAGAAGATTTCCCCATCACAGGACCCCGGGGAGTCCAAAGGTATCAGGTCAGTGAGTATTATTTAACAGAAACTTAAAAACTTAGAGATAAGCTATAGTTATTTGAACAAAGCAAGCTCATCAGAGTTGCAGTTTGTAGTTCTGACTTTCTAATTTGGGCTGGCACATTGCCCTTTGTTTAGGCCAAGTCAGGGAGATGCTGGATCTAAGATCAGGCCTGAGCTACCACTACACACATTGGAGGCTGGACCAACCTGGAATGGTTTGACCATCTGACTAATCATTGATAGTGTCCTCAAACAGCTGTTCTTTGGGCATTTGTTTCATGAACACCTAAGCCAGGTGTGAGGGAAGGACTGAATAAGAGAGTAGCAAGTTTCTGCCTCCAGCCCTGATTGCAAATATCTCATCTCCAGTCAGCAAAACAAGGGCCCTGCCAGTACTTGAACCCACCCTTCTTGAAGGACAATTTAGAAAATATCCATCATCATCTGTTAGCACACAGTCCCTCACCCACCCTACCTACACACACACACACACACACACACACACACACACACACAGATTTTCCCTCAGAAGAGTTCCAAAATAAACACTTCCTCCAAATCTGTATCCTCCCAGTAATGTTTTGGGGCCACTTACAGGGGCAGCCAAAGCACCTTGGTCTAGATCTAAGTGGACTCCATTGTCATTTGTTCCCCTCCCCTCTCCCCTACCCCAGGCACTACTCAAGTTGACACTCAAGCTTTTAGCTTAGATTTTGGTTCCCCACCCTCTGGAATTATATCACTTTAGACCTCATCATCTTGATCACTTTCTCTGTAGACAGTTTAGTCATGGAAAAGGTAAGAAAGCAGGACAGGGAGAACCTTTGAGTTCCAGAAGAAAACAGTACAGGGGCACAACTTGGGAAAAGAAGATGACAAAAGAAGAGGCTAAGATGCCCCTTCACCTACTTCACAGTTCAGCCAAAAGGTTGGCATTGCCACATAATTGACAGGACAATTACCCAGTCTAGTAACATCATTGAATTGTTGCACTTATCATCTGACCCACTCCAGTGTTTGTGGTCTGATGGTGACTGATTTCTCAATCCTGAATCAGGAGTGTTGGCCATTTGTGAAGTTTCAAGTTGTCCAGGGCAACTCTTGTCTCCTCTGCAGAGTGTGGATTCTCACCAATCCCTCCAAGATCCAGTGGGACGCCCCATCATGCACCTGTCAGGTCTTAAACATGCTACAGGTGAAGCTGTATTTTGTGATGACATCCCTATGGTGGATAGAGAACTTTTCATGGTTTTGGTGACCAGTACAAGAGCCCATGCAAAAATCATGTAAGTAAATAAAAAGCTTTCAAAAAATACTTTTAAAAGCACACTTGCAGGTATGCACTTGTTGTGCTATGTCCTAAACCCAAAGAACCAAAAATTGAAAGAATAAAGAAAAGGGCACCATCCCCAGGAGGAGGAAGGGGGTGGTATCTGGAAATGACCATTATGAAAGAGAACAAAAATTTCAGTTATGGGCTCCTTGCTTTCTTCTAACCTCATTACACCTCATCTCCCTGCTGTAGCCGCAGGCATGGCTCAAAGGAGCAACTCTGAGTAGGGCTAATACTCAGCTGGTGATAAAACCTTGAAATAATGCATTTCTGAATGGTAAATGCCCACTGTCCTAAGCTTCCCAAGAATGTTCCTTGCCTCAGCCACACGGCCCCTCCCCCAGGTCCTCTCCTGTAGTGAGTGTTACCCCTGGCCCAGCAGGCAGCCTCCTGGACCATATGGCAGGTTAGCTTTTATTGTTTGGGACCTACGCTGGACAGTTGTTCATATTTCTGTTTTCGACCATGTTCTATCCTTTCCTCAGGTCTGGGGCCCTCAAAGCTTGCTGATTTCTACTTCTTGAATATTTCTCTTTTTCCAGATCAATTGATTTGTCTGAGGCCCTTGAACTGCCCGGAGTGGTTGATGTGATAACAGCTGAGGACATTCCAGGCACCAATGGTGCTGAGGATGACAAATTGTTGGCTGTAGATGAGGTACAAGGCATGCTTTCTCAGATGACTCTGTAGATAATCACCAAGGTACCACCTCCAGCTGGTTTTCAGTCCCTGCCCCCCTACATTGTGGGATAGATGTGCTGATTCTTCCAGCTTCTCTATATACCTAACATCTTTATTCAGACAGACTTAACTCTTCTGGAGTCAGGAAGTTACACAGTAAAAAGGAAATCATAAACATACAGAAAAACAAGTCTTAGTTTTCCCACTGTGTGCTATTGAGTCAATTTCTCTCATCTAAAGAATAAATTTAGGAACTGACCTGTATCAGGATACAATACCCTAGAAAAAAGAACAGATCCCTGTTATCTGTATTGAACTCCCTCCCTTCCTAGACCAACTCCACACATACACACCTCCACACCACCCCTCACTAACTTTTATTCACTCCATTTGTAATAAAGTTGCTTTTGCCACCTTTGACATTTTAATTCAATTCTGCAAACATTCACTAAACACTTGCTTTTGGAGCCAGGCTAATTTGGTTCATGTTCCATCTCCACTGTTCACTAGCCGGGTGCATTTGGGTATCATTATCTGGAAAATGGGAACAATCACTGCACCAATCCCATGGTGTTCTAGTGAGATCTGAATGGGTTAATGCATATAAAATGCTTACAATGATGCTTGGCACGTAAAGGTTCTCAGTAAGTGTTAGCGTGTTAGCTATTATTGTCACTTCTTTTTTTTTTTTTTTTTAATGTTTTATTTATTTCTAGGAGAGAGAGAGAGACAGCTTGAGCAGGGGAGGGTCAGAGAGAGAGGGAGTCACAGACTGAAACAGGCTCCAGGCTCTGAGCTGGCAATCAGCACAGAGCCCGAGAGGGGCTCGAACCCACCAACCGCGAGATCATGACCTAAGCGAAAGTCGGACGCTTAACCGACTAAGCCACCCAGGCGCCCCTATTGTCACTTCTTGATGAGTCACACAGACTTTCTCCTCCATGAAACGATTCACTGTTCTTTTGATAGAACTCCAGATGAAGAGGTCAGTTTTTATTTAAGAGCTATATCATCTGCTCAGGCTGCCATAACAAAATACCACAGACTGGGCCACTTTTAAAAAAGCAGAAATTTGTTTTTTCACAGTTCAGTGACTGATCACCCAAGATCAAGATGTTGGCAGGTTTGGTTTTTCCTGAGGCCGCTCTTCCTGGTTTGCAGGTGGCCGTCTTCTCACTGTGTCATCACATGACTTTTGTCTGAGGATGAGCGCCCATATCTCTTCCTCTTCTTAAAAAGACACCAGTCATATTGGATTAGAGCTCTGCCCTTATGACCTCATTTAATCTTAATTACCCTTAATTACTTAAAGGCCCTATCTCCAAATACAGTCACATTGAACATTAAGGCTTCAACATTTGGATTTGAGAAAGAGGGGACACAGTACAGCTGGTAACACGAATCAAATTGTACAAGAAACACTTTCCTTATCTTTAAACTCTAAAATGATAAATGATACCATGAAGATCTTACATTTGAACCAAGGTTGACAGAGGACACAGCACATTCAGATCACAGCCAATCTCACATCTACTCTGGGGCTTACATTCATTGAGTAAAATGGCCAATAGAATCATTGCCAAACAATAATAACAAAGATACCAGCCACTGGTACGGGTGAAGTAGGACTATTCCTACTGATATTTTTCTTCCTGCTTCATGCATGTACTTTCTGCAGGTGCTTTGCGTGGGCCAGATCATCTGCGCTGTGGTTGCAGAGACAGATGTACAGGCAAAGAGTGCAATTGAAAAGATAAAGATCACCTATGAAGATCTGGAGCCCATAATCTTCACCATCAATGTAAGCAGACTGGCTGGTTTCTTTCCTGTAAGGTTGTAGAATCAAAAACACCTTTGAAAATTTCTTAATGCAAGAAATTTTTTTTTCTTGTCACTGGCTTGCCCTGGAAAAATAAGCTTTCTCTGGAAGATATTACTCATATGAATTGAAATTCGCTTTGGCTCTAAGAAATGGCAGGGTTGGAGTGGGGTGAGGAAACAAACCAAGAATTGAAGTTTCTTTCTCTTTTACATTCAAAAAGTCTAGAAGGAATCAATCCAGGGCTTATGTAGAGTTCTGTGTCAGAGATCTGGGCTCCTTGTATCTAGTCACTGCATCAAGCATGGTTTCTATCCTCTAGGTCACACTTTGCTCCACAATGGCTACTGAAGCTTTGGCCATTAAGTCCACATTCCAGACAGAAGAGAGAATGAGGTGATGAAGAAGGGCATCTCCTGTCCCTTTAAGGACACTTCCCATAATCTCACTAGTTAGCTCCTAGTCAGATGCCACACCTCACGGGGAGCTGGGAAATGTAGACTTTATTCCAGGTGACTACATATCCACTAAAAATTGGGGAAGATAATGATAATGGATATTGAGAACAATCATGTTTTCAAAATGGGGTCCCAAAACAGTGGGACTTTCATGATGGAATTCCACAGAAATTTCAACTCTTATTTTTGGGTCTAGCGGAAGGAATGAAAATGCTATTAATAAGCAGAAAGAATGGGGGCACCTGGGTGGCTCAGTCGGTTAAGCATCCGACTTCGGCGCAGGTCATGAATATCCTGGTTTGTGAATTCCAGCCCTGCATCGGGCTCTGTGCTGACAGTTCAGAGCCTGGAGCCTGCTTCGGATTCTGTGTCTCCCCCTCTCTCTGACCCTCCCATGCTTATTCTCTGTCTCTCTCATTAATAAATAATTTAAAAAAATTTTTTTAAGCAATGAATGATTAGAATAGAAAATTCAGATGCGGAGTAGGATTTGCAGGTCCTAACTCAATGAAGGGCAAGTTCAAAGTAACTGAGTTTAGAAAAGCTTTCTTATTTGTGCACTTGTGACAGAAAATAAAATTTTTTCAAAGGCCCCGTGAACCACTTGACATTTTAAAAATGTGCCTAAAAGGCACAACTTGCTCAATATTCTAAGTGTTAAAAAGGTCATGTTTCTTGATCTTTCTAAACCAAACCAATTCTGTTCCAAATTCCCATTTTGCCAAGTTTGCAAGAAGTCCAGACCATTTCTTTTGGCTCAGTCTCCCTCCTGGGGTTGTACTAGGATCCTAATATCAGTTTTTGAAATTTCAATTCTAATCCCATTTCTTCAAGGAGGAAATGGTATCCAGAAGAAAAACCATGAAATATCCTGGGATTCAGAATGGTTAGAGTTCTAGAGTTCTCTCAGAATAGGACTGTCCAGAGTCAGCTAAAATTGTCTTTTGTGAATGAAAGTAGGTAACAAAATAGTCATAGATACCAATACTTATTCACCCATCCATTCATTCATTCATTCATTTAAATGACTGTATATATGAGAGGCAGCAGTAAGGGTAGTGGCTAAAAGCACATTTTCTAGAACCAAACTGCTAGTTTTGAATCTTGGCTGCACCACTTACTGTGTAACCTTAGATGAGTTTGGTAACCTCTCTGAGACACGGTTTCTTCATCTGTAAAATGGGGATAGTACTAATAATCACCTGTTCCCTGGACATCCACACTAAAATGAGAAATGAGTATTTATCATCATGAGATATCATAACATCTCCAAATCTCAATTCTTAACATTTCCCTACTCCTTCTTGTTGGTTTTCCCTGCACTCTAGAAGACATCCTCAGACTTCCATCTTGCCTCTGCCATGAGCCCACTACTCCATTACTACCCTGCTTGATGACTCCCTTCATGCGTCCCAGTAGATGGCTAATTGGGGAGGTTTACTGGCCTTTGACTAAGAAAAAAAAATGGCAGTGGAAGAAAAAAATTTTAATTGACTTTTGTGGTTTATTCCTATCATTTAGGATGCCATAAAGCACAACTCATTCCTATGCCCTGAAAAAAAACTTGAACAAGGAAACATTGAGGAGGCATTTGAAAAAGTCGATCAAATTGTTGAAGGTAAGCAGCTCAGGATATTTAATAGAATCTTTGCATGATTCTGTTCCAGAGCAGACACTGAGGGTGTGTGATTTCTTCTGAGAAAGGGCATCCTCTAAAGACTTAGCACTTTGCCAGATTTCTCTTATATCTCTTTCTCTCAAATTGTGAGGGAGGGCGCCTTTAGAGGTGAGGGGCAGAACAACAGAATAAATAGAAAAATCCTTAGCACTTTGTTTAGTCAAAGACAGAGGAACAGAACCAAACACTTCCAATTTGTTATACAAAACTATAGTCTCTGAAACAGATTGCCCTTAGCTGCTGCAGAACAAATGCCTGCTTCATCAGTTCCTTGGTCAGGACAAATCCAGACTGGTCAGTCCACATCTTCCATGCTTGGGAATTACTCAACATGGTAGTTTCCAATGAGCACACACTTTCAGGAATTTCCCTTTGCTTGCACTTAACAGGAGAGGTTCATGTTGGAGGACAGGAACATTTCTACATGGAAACACAAAGAGTGCTTGTTATTCCAAAGGCAGAGGACAAAGAGCTGGACATTTATGTGTCAACACAGGATCCAGCCCATGTGCAGGTGAGGTCCAGGATTGCCCTTACCTTCTGAACTTCCTAATTTCATCATGGCCTTCAATCCCCATACCCTTGCAGTCAGTAGCCATTCTTCCTGTAGAAACTTGATGTCCAAGTATTGGACATCAGTGGAGCAGCTAAGTAAGATACCAAAACTCTTTTATTTTTTTTCTGGTCTTGTCAAGTAAGTACAAGAACAGCTGTGGTGAAGGGGATTCACAGCACACTTATCCTGGTGACCACTGAGTAATGTATAGAACTGCTGAACCACTATAGTGTACACCCAAAACTAACAACACTGTGTTAACTATACTGGAATGAATATTAAATAAAATTAACAAAATTAAAGAAAAGAACAGCCACAGTCATTTCAGTTTTAAAGAGTACATTCATTTGTGGCATGTTTAAATGAGCTCTATGATTGGATAGCAACACTAAATTATATCTGTACTTGCCTTTTCTCTAAAATAATCATTACAGATAACGTTTGGAGTAAACATATCACTTTACAGCACATTTTAATTCTCCCAGTCTCAGAGTGCTCTAGGTTTTAGCTGCAAACATTTTCTTTAGAAGTTTGTCAGGCATTTGCTGATTTTCACCTTATTGGAAGTTAAGTCTAGGCATTTGGCTAGGATTCCGGCTCTGACAGGAATCCAGGATTTTGACAGTTTCCCTTCTGGAAAATACTATTTTTCTGCTGGAAAGGCTGTTCTGTAAGATTAACGATGTTAATGAACTCAACAGAGCTCTCTGCTAAACGGATTTACATTATCTTAGTTTGGGTTTTGTTTTTTGTTTGTTTGTTTTCTGACAGTAAGTGTGGATGAATATTGCTGTGATGTTTCAGAAAACAAAAGGCTTCTTTGCCATTTCTTGTAAAACTTTTCCATTACCTTTCACAGAAAACAGTGTCCTCTACTTTAAACGTCCCCATCAACAGGATTACCTGTCATGTCAAGCGGGTGGGTGGAGGTTTTGGCGGAAAAATAGGAAGACCAGCTGTATTTGGGGCTATTGCAGCTGTGGGTGCTATCAAGTAAGTGTGCTCCGGGATACAGGAGGGTGTAAACTGTACAGAGCTAAGGGCAAATCCATGGACTGAGAGTAACTTGGATTGCTGTCGTAACTACCCAAGTGTCCTTGGGCAACTCAGGCTCCTATCTCTTTTTCTTTATAATTATAGATATAATACCACCTTCTTAGAGTTATTGGAAAAATCACATGCACCAAGGACTTCAAATGAGCTATGAAAAGGAAAAGTGATATTATTAGTTAAACAGCTCCAAGGCTGAGGCTGCCCCTCCCTGAGCTTCATGAAAGGTGACCCATTTAGGGGTGGGGCCAGTCTCTTGTCCAAGTGGAATGCCAAGGGGGAGGCTCCTCCCCGACTTTCCCTTCCTACTCTAGCTGCAGACAGGGTGGCATGAGGAAAGAAAGGCTCCCACCCTCTGCCTCTCTGCACCTGGAAGGACTGGCTAGTCAATGTTTGCTTAATGACAGATGACATCCTCAAAGAGAGTTCCCAGGCTAAGGAAATTCCCAGCAAGGAAGGCTTCCTCCTTCGCTGTTCATGTTGTTCAGGTTGCTGGATTTTCTGTTTCTTGTTCATTTTCTATGACTATTTCTTGGTAGTTGCAAAGTATTGTCAGAGACCCAATCAGCCTGCAAAGTTCAAATGTTCTGCTTCCTTTGACAAATTCTGTGTAGTTCAAAGCTAGGTCCTAAAGCACTCAGATGTTTGTCTTATTCTGCAGTGAGAGGCAGGAAATCACAAGATCTGAATCCCATCTTCAGTTCTTTCCATAATGAACCTCTCTATTCACACCCACCAAATACCCAGAAGGAGCAATCAGTTCATCATACTCCCAACAGGCTTTGTGCCTTTAAGACTTCTCAAGCATTACTGCACAGTAGAAGCATCCGACAACCATTTAAGTAAGTCCCAATGCCTAGGCTGCCCCATACCAATGAGGGCATCAGTATAGTTTAAAACTAACCCAGTGGTTCCACTGTGCAGCCAAGTGTGGGAACCAGTGTCTTACGCTACAACCCCACCTTAACACACATCTGGCATGCATTAAGTAGTCCCCAGAGCAGTGTTGCCAAATTGTTGATAGTAAGAGTCTCTAGGGGCTCCCGGAGTTGTGAGTGTCCCAGAGTTGTGATCTCATGGTTTGTGAGTTCAAGCTCAGCCTGGAGCTTGCTGCTGTCAGAGCAGAGCCCACTTCTGATTCTCTGTCCCCTCCTCTCTCTGCCCCTCCCCTCTCTCAAAAATAAAATAAATAAGAGTCTCCTAGGCTTATAGAAATTCCTGCCTCTCCATCCCAGACCCACTGAGTCAGAACCACCAGGGGGTGGACACAGAAACCTTACATTTAACTGATGCTCCAGGTAGTCTTCACCATTAAAAAAACAACAAAAACAAAAACAAAAAAAACAAACACAAAACAGGAAACCCTGTGCCAGAATTGTAATTTTCAACATGCACCTGAAAGTATCTCATAAGAATCACTGAGAAAAATTCCAATTCTAGGGCCCCTCCCTAAAGTACCGAATGAGAATCCTAGTGCTAAGGGTCAGTAATCTGCATTTTTGCCAGCATGCCAGATGATTCTTCTACACTCCAAAGTATGGGAACCACTGCCCTGGAGATACAGAAAGGCTGAATCTCCTAGCTGCCCAAAGGCCCTACATGGCCAACATAATAGCATTCATGGGTGAAAATTAAAATGCTGACCCAGCATCCTAAAGATAAGTACTTGGCCTTGCTTTTGCAGTTGTGTTAAGTATGGATTTATCTATTTGCATTATTTCAACTTTGTAACTAGTGGTGGGGATATGCAAAGTGGCTGGATCTGGGTGAGCATGAAATCTGAACCCTTAAGAACACAAGTTAACTGGAATTCAACATTAATCACTTTAGCTAGATCTCTAACTATTGAGTTATAGGCTACAGAAAAGTAGTAATTTAGTCATATATTAATTCAGATCAGTGCCTAGCTTATTGTATGCACTCAAGGACTATACGTGGGATGGATGGATGGATGGTTAAATGAATGGCTGGATAAATAGGTGGGAGAATGGATGGAGGATGGATGGCCAGGAAGGTAGCTAGATGGATGCTTGGGTAGATAATTAAATGAGGGGTTGAATAAATAGGCGGTGGATGCTAGATGGGTAGGTGATGAATAGGGGAATGGATCAATGGGTGGGTGGAATGGATAGAAAATCTAAGATTTGTTTTCTTTAGAACTGGTCATCCCATTCGTCTTGTTCTTGATCGTGAAGATGACATGTTAATAACTGGGGGAAGACACCCATTATTCGGAAAATATAAAGTGAGTATTCAGCTTGAAATTATTAAGTTACCTCATTTTAAGAGACTCTTAAATATAGAGAACAAACAGGGCTGCTGGAGGGGTTTGGGGTAGGGGAATCAGCTAAATGGGCAGGGGGCATTAAGGAGGACACTTGTTAGGATGAGCACTGGATACTATATGTAAGTGATTAATCACTAAATTCTATTCCTGAAATCATTATTATACTAAATGTTAACTAACCTGGATGTAAATTAAAAAGAAGAAGAAGAAGAAGAAGAAGAAGAAGAAGAAGAAGAAGAAGGAGGAGGAGGAGGAGGAGGAGGAGGAGGAGGAGGAGGAGGAGAAGGAAAGGAAGAAGAGGAAGAAGAAGAAGAAAAATTTTAAAATACCTCATTTTATCTTACTGGTTTTTGTCGTTTTCTATTATTTTGATTTTGCTAAATTCTAAAAACAAATAATAATTTTATCCAAAACAGTAAATGAGTGGGGCACCTGGGTGGCTCAGTAGGTTAAGCATCTGACTCTTGATTGCTCAGATCATAATCTCACAGTTTATGAGATAGGGTCCTATGTCAGACTCTGCAATAACAGCATAGAGCCTGCTTGGGATTCTCTCTCTCCCTTTCTCCCTCTCTCTCTCTGCCCATCTCCTGCTCACATGTTCTCTCTCTCTCTCAAAATAAATAAACATTAAAAAATAATAATAAAATAAAATGTTAAATGAGAATGCTGTGTATTTGAATTCTCATATTTTTATGAGGGACTTTTAGTACATCTAGTATAGACTGGAATGTAAAAATACAATTTCAAATGATAAAAACATTACTGAAGGAATAAGATTTTTGTTAGTAGTTCCCCAAAGACAAAAAATGAAAGAAGCTCGAACATTTGTTATACCAAAACTTCTTGACTATTAAAATATTTTGCTGTTGAAATATTTGGAAACGATTTTACCATTTTTACTACATAATCATTTTTACAAGTGTTTCTGCCAAGTTGTTAGGAAAGTATCACAAAAGTTCCTTGAAAATAGGAAAAAAAGATCCACGAACAATGAAATAATTTTAAATTGTTTCAAACCATGCTCATTGCCTTTTATACAACTACAGCATAAACACCATTAAAAATACTGTTGACATCTGAGTTGCCTGGGTGGCTCAGGTGGTTGAGCATCTGATACTTAATTTTGGCTCAGGTCATGATCCCAGGATTGTGAGATCAAGCCCCATGTTGGGCTCCACACTGAGCATGGAGCCTGCTTAAGATTCTCCTCTCTCTGTCTGTCTGTCTGTCTGTCTGTCTCTCAATCTCTCTTTCTCACTGTGCCCCTTTCCGGCTCTTTCTCTCTCTCAAAAAATAAAAATAATAAAAAATACTTTAACATTTAGTTGACAAAAATAGTACTTTTCAAATTTGTGACTGAGTTTTTGGAATAGTTCTTATGTAATGTGTTAGTTCTATATTAAATGTGTTCTATCTGGGAATTGCTTATAGTGTATATATAGCACTACATATAGCAACCTCTACCTGAGGTTACCATTGCCTTCAATTACTAAATTATTATATTTCTTGGAATACTAAAGCCATACCACAGCACCATTTTATTTCTTCCATTGGCATTAGTAATTTTTATAATTAGAGAGAAAAGGAAACAGTTGGCCATTAATTTTTATTTGCCGTCAAATGCAAAGAAATGAATATTCACAATTATTATTATCTTCTAGTACCAAGAACAATGTAGAGCCACATTCTGGGATTGTGGCAGTTTGCGTTGTTATGGTGGTTGTTGAGTTCTTTGGTTTTGGCCCATTATAAACCAGGCTTTATTTATGCTGTAGTTGTGAGACTGTTTTAATACTAGTACTTATTTAGAAGGTTCTAGACTTTGAATATTTTGGTGATTATGGTTTTATAAAATATAACTTAAATGAGGAAAATAGACTTTGGAAAATACAAGTTTTATTTTATTTTTAAAGAAATATAATTTTACTTTCAATATGTTTGTGTGAGACGTGTGTGTGTATATGGATAGACAGAGAGAGAGAGAGAAATCCTCATTCAAACCTAGCTAACATAGTTTTGCTCAGTTTTTCAGAGCTGTTTGTAAATTAGCATAATAGATGTTTATGTGTGAAAAAGTCCTTCCAAAAATTCTTAAAGTTTATAAACAGTTTAAGAATTCTCTCTGTTACCTTATTTATTATACTATTTTGCTTAGCAATCATTTCTTTGTGAAAAGTCAAAGGTAAACTTCAGCCTAGCGTTTGTCAAAATTACCATGAATTCTGAATTCATGGATTTCCCTGCATGTGCTCGAGTTTGTTACCCAATATTTCCATAGGTGCTAGTAACCAAAAAGCTGTGCCCATTTTCAGAATGTCCAAGGCACCAGGGCCAACCCTTTTCTGGTAGAACTACAACAGTCTTTTCAGTCTGTGCCGTGCAGACCAACTGGTCTACGTGGGTGGGAAGAGAATGGCAACTTTAGAAAAATACAAGGTGCTCTTGTGAGTCCCAAAAAGAACATCATCACTAGTTCACATTTGTTATATCCTTAACCAATCACAAAGCACTTCATCAGCTCCCTAAATGGGAGCAGCCATTCTCATGTCCATTCCCCAGCATCCACTTCTGAGATGCACTGTGATTCTTTCCCATGAAGTCTGGAATTCCAGAGACTTTCCCATCAGGGGGAGAAACCACAGACTAAATTAGAAGGAAAACTAGTAAAAAGTGAAGGAGAATCTGTCAGAAGTAAAGAAGAAGAGGGTGGCAATTATACAGCAGGAGGCAAGCAAGGACTTTGGAATTCCACACTGACTGTGAAGCCAGAAAATTACATGTTGAAAGGAAAGGCTCAGCAAAATCCAGGTCACAGGAGGTCTTTGTCACCCAAGCATGGAAAACCAAGGGATAGCCAGATGTGACATACCACCAAGCAAACGGAAGAAGAGTCTGTCTTCAATTCCACCCAGTAGTAGAGTTGGGCTGTGACTTGAACTGTAAATTTTAAACAAATCATAAAATGTCCATCATTTGGTGACAGGTGGGATTCATGAACAATGGGCGAATCAAAGCTCTAGACATTGAGTGTTTCATTAATGGAGGATGCACACTGGATGACTCTGAGCAGGTATGTGCATCAGAAACTAGCACCATCCCTAATCATGAATAGAATGCAGAATTTCTAGATGAGTCTTTCTGGAGCATGTTTCTTTAGGTACTTATCAAGTTCCACAAGCAGTTAGACTCTGTACTTGACTTTTACAGAAAAAAAAAAAGCATTGTCCGATATATATTAATATCTCCTTTTACTTTAGGTAACAGAATTTCTTATATTAAAGCTGGAAAATGCCTATAAAATCCGCAACCTTAGATTCCGGGGCCGCGCATGCATGACAAATTTACCATCCAATACGGCCTTTCGCGGATTTGGCTTCCCACAAGGAACCCTGATAACAGAATCTTGCATCACAGCTGTGGCAGCCAAATGTGGCCTTCTTCCAGAAGAGGTAAGATTGTCATCAAGGTCGTAACCAAAGTTAGTCAAGAATCAGATGAGGCAGGGAACTAGCTATCCAAAGAAAAAACATAGAAGAACCACTCAAATTAGTCCTGACTCAGAATTCAAGATAAATTAAATGCTCCCTGAAGGAAATGACTCCACTATCTTCCTACCTCCTTAGGCAAAAAGCTTTCTGGTTCTTTCTTTTTCCTTACTTGTACAAAAATAATTACTCTTTGTTTTTAAAGTTTTATTTATTTATTTTGAGAGGGGGAGAGAGAGAATCCCAAGCAGGCTCTGCACTGTCAGCACGAGCCCGACCAGGGGCTCAAACTCAGGAACTGTGAGATAGTGACCTGAGCCAAAACCCAGAATTAGATGCTTAACCGACTGAGCCACCCAGGCACCCCAAAAATAATTACCCTTTTAAAATTTTTAACCAGTAATTAAAGTAAAAGGTGGGGCAACTACGGGCACCTGGGTGGCTCAGTCAGTTAAGTGTCTGACTTCGGCTCAGGTCATGATCTTGCAGTTTGTGAGTTCAAGTCCTGCTTTGGGGTCTGTGCTGACAGCTCAGAGCCTGGAGCCTGCTTCGGATTCTGTGTCTCTCTCTCACTCTCTCTGACCCATCCTCCACTCATGCTCTGTGTGTGTGTCTCTCTCTGAAAAATAAATAAACATTAAAAAAAAGGTTGTTGTTTTTTTTTTTTAAGTGGGGGCACTTATGTGGCACAGTCAGTTGAGCGTCTGACTCTTGATCTCGGTTTAGGTCATGATCTCATGGTTCCTGAGTTCTAACCCTACACTGGGCTCTGTGCTGATGTCGCCAAGCCTGCTTGGGATTCTATCTCTCCCTCTCTCTCTCTGCTCCTCCCCTGCTTGTTCTCTCTCTCTCAAAATAAATACATAAATTTTTAAAAATTTTTTTGACTTTTGGGGCGCCTGGGTGGCTTAGTCGGTTAAGCGTCCGACTTTCACTTAGGTCATGATCTCGCGGTTCGTGGGTTCGAGCCCCGCGAGAACGAACAAACGTCTTGTAGGAA